GTGTGTGTGTGTTGTAGTCATATTTGGTGCATTCTCCAAAGATGTCGCTAACATCTGTATCATTTTGTTTCTTGGACAAGTGCTGCGTCGCATGTTGGTCTGTTTTCTGAAAATTCTGGCGCTCCCTTCATTTCTTGAAGGAATTACTTTTGCCATGTCTGTCTCGGTAGAAACACTTTGGTAAGGCTGTGGTAACTTGGACGAAATTCAGTGGCGTGTATCGGGCATCGTCACGTTGACTTCGAACACTGTTGCTCTCTGACCAAATAGTCTGTCATTTGAGAGCAGATCAACGTTTTGAGGAGAATAATTTGAATAAATAAGATAATCGTTTTAGGCATTACGAGTACATTTTCCAGGACCTGGAAATGCGCCAAGCAACATTCGTTTAAGCTCGGATAGGCCACGTTTAATTCAGTTGGACTGGGATCCTCCAAGTGTTCCAAATGGAAAAATTATTCGCTATATTATTTACTACACCCCGCTTGATGATCAGGTACAGCTAAAATTTTAATGATTTGGTGCACTAGCAAGCCGCCAGCAAGAACTTTCAGTTATCGGTGTGGTTAATAACGCTTCTTCGAAAAGTAACCACTCAGAAGGTTATCCTTTCATAGAAACCGGGACTTTTGTACCATTCACAAAGAAAACTGAGTCCCTTTAAAAGTCGAAATCTCCACAGCTCACTGCTTATTTGAAAGACGAAGGCACCCAAAGTAGTTGGATGGAACTGTTTGCCAATAGCAACCATCAGTTAATAACAGGGCTGTCGATGGCTCCTTCAAACAGTATTTCGAGAATCGACTGAATGCATTTTAATTTTTTGATTTCATAAAGAGATTGACAAAGTCGAATCTTTGGCCACAGAAGCAACACTACTTACTATTACACCATGCTCAGCGGTGATCAAACAGGAAATTTTGGCAGCCAAAAAATCTCGAATGAAAGTTTCATTTAGAATTTTGATTAAGCTTTTTTAGAACATCGTGTATCAAATGGGGCAAATTCCGAAGAAGCCGATAACGGAATGGATGACGTACCATAAGGATGGTAACTATTTGACCAGTGGACCACAACATGCCGATTTATTGGGTTTCGTTGAACCGGATACTGCTTATGCTCTGGTATTGCAAGCTGTCAACCAGGATGGTCCAGGACCTTACTCAGAACAACACACTATCAGGACAATGTCACGCGGTTCGTATAATTCGATTCAGTTTTCAACTTAAGACGCACATTTTGGCTTCAGTTTTCGCTTGTAAAAAGTCATCGCCTCATAGCTTCTGTTTACTTAAAGGCCTACGTGATGTAGCACCTTCATGAAATTTTCTCTCATGCTCTGCATGGAATTCTTTCCTCCATTAGACTGATTCATACTCCGGACAGAACTGCCCCAAAATTTTCTAGCGTAGACACTGTAGCTGCATAATAATTACATTCTTCCCATATTTCACCTTTTATTAAAAGCCAAAACGTATAAAAGTAAGCCAAAAGCAACATTTTCCAACAGCAACTCTCAAATGGTAACACTTTTAGTAGTTTTCCTTTCGAGAATTGCCTACAAGCCAGTTGATGACAGTTTTACCATCAGAGCAAATGAAGAAATCGCAAGGACATCAGTTTTTATACGTTTTTGCTTATATGCCAATTGCAAAAGCGCACATTAGCAAGAGGCTGTGTGTATGTGTGTGTCTGTGTGTTCACACTTTTTGTCGCCCATTTTCAACTCGAGAACCAGAAGGGCTAGAAGGCTGAAACTTTGGAAGTGTATTCTCATACCATGCGCGATCCTCTCATTTTAATTTCATCCTCCGCGGATGCCTGGGTGCCGCGTGCGGACGATTTAAAAAAATATGCAATTTTTTAGCGGGAAAGCGATCTCGGGAACCACATGAGGTAAGGGCTGAAATTTTGTAGGGATATTCCCTGTGCATGTACTAGTTAAAGATTTCAAATTCAGTCCCCTGATATGCGTGGTATTCACGTAAGGGAATATGAAAGTTTTAGCGGGAAAATTGCTAACTCGGGTACTGAGAAAGCTAGAAAACTGAAATTTTGGGAGAATTTTCCCTGTCCAACTATAACTCAAACATTTCAGATTCAGCTTTCAGATATGCGTGGTCCTCACATACGAGCACTTAGAAGTTTTGACAGAAAAGTTGAGAAGCTAGGTTACTTTCAAAGAAAGACTGTTAAATGGGAATTGTACATTTAATTTGGGCAAAATTTATAGTGATTTACGCTAGTAAGCGCAAAAAGTAGTTGTAAAGCAACAACCATCCATGCAGTTAATGACCAGAGTACTTCAAGTCCGGTGCGAAAACGCATGATCGCACTGGCAAGTCTGGTGAGTTCCAGCCTGGATTGTAGTAGTAGAAATGTGTCACAGTCTTAAGCTCGAGGGCTGCGCTATTTACCATTGCACCAGACTTTTTAACCAACTATAATTAGTAATTAAAAGGATCTGACATGTTCGCTTGAAAAATACATAAACGTTTTTCCGTTGCAGCCTTCGTAACTCAGCTGCTTTTATTTTTAGCACGAGAAGGGCCACCACTTGATTTACGAGTTGAACCGGAGGGGCAGCGCTCTGCGCTTGTGGAATGGCTTAAGCCCACGACAAGCGAACAACCACCTGTTGGTTATGAACTTTATTATATCAAGGCAGATGCAAAGATCTGGGAAGATGATTTGGCTAGTCTTGACGATTGGTGAGTTTTCCCTTTAATTTCACCTCCTGAAATCCATGGGCAAGTCTAGCACTGACAAGGTAGGCCAATTTTGCCAGCATGTAATTCTAGCATTATCCAGTCTAAAAAAACCAAGGCTACTGGGCAGTCGGCATCGGGATTCCATGCTATAGATTTCATTGGGATGCTCTTAAAATCTATTGCGCTCTTCGATCTTGTGATGTGTCTCTAACTAATATACACAGTCTGTACGATGTATGTGCGCAGTGCACTCTTTCTTATTTACAAGATGTTCATGAGGATTATCACTAATCAATTGATAAAATTCCTCAGTGAACAGTAACCGAGAAAGCAAGCTCGACTCCGGAGCATGTAAAGCTCGATGAATCACATATTCGCTCTTAATCAACTGCTGGAACGTGTAGGGGAGAACTAACTCCCTTTTTTTTCTATTCGTTGGTTACAAAAGTGCATTCTATAGAATAGAGCTGAATCCCGTGCTGCGAGCTGTTTAGATGAAGATATTGATGAGAACTATGTGGAAATAGTTAAGGAAGCAAACACAGACTGCTCGGCAGGCGCAGCATCCACTCCAGTCCGCAAGCGGATCGAGAGAGGAGTGAAAGGGTGGCCCATATCGCGCAAACTTTTCACGGCTCGCCTCGAAATGGTATTTAGGAAATTAAATTGGAGGGGAGCTGCTAAACATCAGTGTAAGCTGCTAAATACGTCCTTATTGTCAACGGCTGTAGCGAAAAAAACGAGATAGCTTAGCGCAGCTTGCACGTCGAGGGCCTGCCAGTTGGCGCAGTTCCGCAGCATCGCCGATATCTACAAAGTGTCGTACCGGAAGGGCCCTATACATCTTTTATAATATCACTGTGCTAAATGCAGTGACATACGGATTCGAAACATGATCATTTACAAAAGTCGAGAAGCGAGCCTTGGTAACGATGGGAAAAGCAATGACGCGAAGGGTAATTGACATATCTCTCCCTTACAGTATAAACAAGTATAAACAGTCGGATTCTCTGTTAGACGAGCGGCGTTCAAAATATCATTGCGACCGCGCGAGGAAATAAAATTCGATGGGCAGGAAGTGTTGCTCGCTTTGCTAGCAACTAGTAAATGGCGCCTACGTGGAAGTAAGCCACTACTCGGGCGACCTTCGATGAAGTGGTGCACATATACCGAACAAATGATGAGTGCTAACTGGAGGCATAGCACAGAATGGAAGAGTCTGGCGTAACCTCTCCCAGCATGTGGTAACAACCTGGACTAACAGGGGTATCCACGCTGAGCAAACTTGTTACTCTTGGTCTTGGTGGTTAACTTCCATTTTTTTAAGGAACATGCTGCCCATAACTGGAACAGGTGAAGACAAACTACATTACAAAATTGATGGTCTGCTGGAACCGGATACGGAATATGTTTTCCGCATGCGGGCCATTTATCCAGATGGTCCGGGAGTATTTTCCGAGGCTTGCATTACCAAAACATTACCAGACGGTAATTGCTTTTGATTAGTGAATTTAATGTACCCTCTGGTTTTCCTACTATTCGCGTGAGTGACGTAAGTTAACATATTTCGAAAAAAACTGTCATGCCCGTGAACTTGTAAGCACGACTCATTATACGTTTTTGCATGTATGCAAGTGCAACCCAGGCTGGAACGCACCAGGCGAGCCGGTGCGATCATGCGTTTTTGCAGCAGACTTGAAGTAATTAGGTTAACTGCATGAGTGGTTGTCTCTTTACACCTACCTTGTGCTCTCAATACCGTAAATCGTCGTAATTTTGCATAAAAGAAAATGAACGGTTTCACTTAGCGGTCGTTTTTTGAAAATGACCCAGCCGTCCAATGAGTAATTTCCCGCCAAAAATTTAAGTGCCCGTACACGAGAAACACGCACGCCTGGTGGCTGAATTCGATAACTTTAAGTCGTATATGGACTGGGAATATCACCTTAAAATTTCAGCCTCCCAGCTTTGCTGGTTTCCAAGTTATCCGTTTTCCTGCCAAAAAATCTCAGGGGACCACGCAC